CTCAAATCGAGCCCAGCACACCACCCTGAGCGGTTGATGCCCAAGTGCTGGAAAACAGGGACAGGGCACCTCTGGGCTCAGGAACACCAGGTCTGTGCTGCCTAGAGGGCATCACCCCAAAGAGGCCATCTCAGAGGAAGCATTCTCCCTGGTGGGGCAGAGTACCTGAACTTATGTCCAGGCCCCACTAACCATGGGCACAGCTCAGTATTTAGGAGGAATGGAGTCAGCAGTGGAAAACCTCGGTCCTCAGGACTCCCAGCTCTCCACTGAACAAAGGAGCCCAAAGACTGGGTCATGAATAGAGGTCCTGTGGAGCATACAACATCCTCTGTGGAGGACCCAACATCCCAGAGTACTTGGCATCTCTTCTCAGCATTGCTTTGTGACTCCATGAATCCCAAGGTTTCCCGACCATGGCATCCTGGATTAGCAAACTATCTTTCAGGATGGTGATACTAGGCTGAGCATGGGGGAGAGGGGAAGGGGAATAGCGGGGGTGGTACTGGGGGAGATGAACCAGTTGTAGACACTGAATCCCTCACAGTAGGTGAGGGCAGAACCGCAGCCCTTCCTGGTCTAAACCAGTTTTCGGACTAATCTGATCCCTGATCACCTGAGGCACTGCTTGAAAGTTCAGGATCTAGGTGACTGGGGCCGCTGGCCTGGCGTGAGCCCCACACTCACACACCCCCGGGGGAGAATGCTGGGGAAAGATTACCAGCAAACCCTGACTCTTTTCTTCCACAGCCCACCACCCATCCTGAGCGGAGGCCACTGAGGACAGACTTAATCCTGATCATGTCACCAGAGACCTGGGCTCCTTCCCATTTCTCCTGTCCCTCTTCCCTGGACAAGGTGGGACTGACCATTTCGGTTTCCCCCAAGGACCATCTCCCCAACTCCACCCGCGTTGCGCCAACCTCACTCAGGCCAGTCTTTCAACTGCAGCTGAACTAGCCCCAGGGTTCAGGAACCAGGTGTCTGCCCTGCAGGGGGCGAGGCTCTGGGAGCCAGCTTTGGAGAAGGGCCGGCACTCACGGAGCTCTGACAGGGATAGCTAGCTACTGCAGATCAAAGATGAACCCCCCCACCCCCATTTTGCAGAGGTGGAAACCGAGGCATAGCGAGGTCACGTGTCTGTCAGGTGCGTTGGGGGCACTTATGCCATCAGAGGGGAGATTCCAAATCTGAGATGAGCCACAGGCCAGCGCTCCTGCCCACAGCACCCATTGCCCTTGTTTAGGGATAGATCCCTAAGACTCTGCTGCAAGAGGAAGCAGGACGCGCCGGCGCTGTGGCTGGGGCGCAGCGGGCATCCTGGCTGTGCGCAGCAGTCAAGGGCAGTAAAGAGGGGCTGCGGGGAGGTCACCCCGCCCCGCGTGCGACAGGGATCCCAAGTCCCCTTCGCACTTACCTTGCGCCAAGCCTTGGGTGGTGGCGTCCTGGGGCCCTAAGGTGCGCAGCAGCGAGCGCAGAGGCGCGGGCCAGCGGGCGTGCCCCCTGCCTTGGCCACGCATCTCCCTGAAGGCCAGGCTTGTGCGGCTCCGAGCTGCAACCGCCCCTCCGAGCACAGTGCAGAGCCTGGGGCCCCCGGAGGCGCTGGCGGAGCGGGGCGGGACTGGAGCGGGGGCGGTGCCGCCTTGTAAGGCTCGGCCCCTTCTCAGGGCGGAGGCACAGAGGGGCTGAGCAGTGACCTTGACCTCCTGGACATTGCCCAGATCGATGGATGGAAACTTGACTCAGAGAGTCCCGGACAACCAATCGGTCAGGAGATGAACAGCGGAGTTAATTACGTAGTAAGGAGGCTGCGGTGTTAGAGCCGCTGTGGGATCCCGGACTAGCCGCTCCAAATCTCTGAGCCTGAGAATTTCTCGTGCCTAATAGAGGATTTAGGAAGGTGAAATGAGACACCGAGCAGAATCGAGAACTGGACGTGGTACGTCCTGGTGATGGAGACCCTTAGACTGCCCACTGTATGACCGCTGTAAAATGCAGGGGCCATCACTGCTCTCCAGCAAACCCCGTATTCGCCTTTGTTATAAAATATAGCTGTTTTGTTTTGTTTTTCCTACTGCATACTGTACGGGGGAAACCAAGGACCAGCTTCGCAACAGACAGCTAGTCCTGCTGCATCCTTCTAGCATCAATCACACAGTTCCAAGCTCTCCCTTGACCACAGCCCTTTGGGGCGAAAGTCCACAGACGTCGCAGCAGTCTCTGCTGAGTTCAGGGTTCAAAATCCAGTCTTGCCTGACAGGGACCCTGGGTCTTCCTCCTGGGTCAAGTCGCCCACCTCACTCTGAGCCACTCAGGTTAACACACAGGAGTTCCCAGAGCCGAAATCAACAGCACTGTCCTCTTGTCTCTGAGAGCTTTCAAGTGCAGCTCTGTGGCCATCCCCAGTGAAGCAGAAGCAGGTAGGCTCCTGTGAGCCGGGAGGAGGGGGGGTAAGCACTGAGCTGGCAGGCCAGGTGTCCCGCCTACCTGCACCTTCCATGGAAGCCTGCCCCTATCTGCTGGGACCTGTCAGCCTTCACCCACAGAAACTTTTAAGTGCGTAATGGTTCTCAGCTGGCACTAGATGGCGCTGCACGAATCTCCCTTCATTGTGGATGGAGAGAGGACTGTCCACCGTGTAGCTGTGGAAAAGCAACCTGGCAGGGTCTTTGTCATGCCCCTGCTCCATTCCCTCTTCCTGTTTCGACAGGGACATCCAGGATTCCAAACCTGGCCGATGTCTAGCTGTCTGTAATCAGGACTTGCTCTTTGCCCAGCACAATGTTATGGTCTGGTGACTGCCTCCCCGTCCTCCAAGACCCTGCTTACACATTGTCTTTTTTCTTCCCAACTATCCTTCAGCTTGGGTGTTTGGGCTTCCCTTTCCCAAGCCTCCCCTCTGTGCACACAGCACAGTCATTTGCCTACACGGCAGTCCATCCCGATACTGCAGTGGGTTTTAAAGAACGGCCTTAGGCTTTGGCTCTGGCTGCCCAACGGCCATTTGTTCTGCACCCCCTTCATTTTCTGGTAGCAGTGGTTCCATGGTCCCCTGGGAAGACCCCTCCCCAACTACTGTGGTTTGAATATGACGTGCCTCCCTCCCCCCACCCACCCCTAGTCTCATGTGTTTGAACACTTGGTCTCCAGCTGGTGAGATTGTTTCAGGAAGTTGTGGAGTGTTGAGGAGGTGGAACCTAGATGGCAGAAGGATCCATGGCATGGGCCAGGCCTTGAAACCTGTAACTCTGTCCTCTTCCCGTGCCATCTGCTCTGGGGGTCTGAGGCGATGTGAGCGAGCTGCCTCACACTCCTGCTGCCACAGCTCATCTGCCACGATGGGTTTCACCCACCAACCTGGAGCCAAAACAAACCCTTTCTCGTGTACTTTGCTTCTCGGTGGCTGTATACCCATTCTGGCAGAACTAAGGCTGCTCCTCAGGCCTGGGGGTAGGCCTGTGGCTCAAAGCAATCACTCAGACTGGTTTGGGAGAGTTCGTTCACAGAGGCACACATCTGGGGCATTGTGAGATTGAGAAAAAGGAGCCTTTGCCTCAGTTACTTTTTAGCCACTCCACCAGGATTAAGGCAACTAACCCTGAAAAAGTTATAGAGAAAAAGTTTGTTGGGGCTTACAGTTCCAGTGAGTTAGAGCCCATGATAATCATGGTGGAGAACATGGCCTCAGGAAGACAGGCATGATGCTGGTTCAGCGGCTGAGAGCTTATATCCTGATCCCCAACTTAGGAGCTAGAGAGGGCTAACTAGAATGGCATGGGCTTTTGAAACTTCAAAACCCCCATCCCCATGACACACCTCCTCCAACCAGGCCACACCTCCTAATCCTTCCTAAACTATCTGCCAACTGGGGACAAAACATTCAAATATGTGAGTCTATGGGGGGGGGGTGTTCTCATTCAAACCACTACAACCCTTTTATCCACTAGGATGGGAGTGACCCCATCCAGACTTCTAGAAGCTTCCTCGAGCCTCAGAATGAAAACAATATGGAGCTGGGAGGAAGGAGCCTGAGGACAGAGTATTCTGAGAGAGCTGACAGCCATCTCTGTGAGTGCCTGGCTTCCACTCTGCCTGAATGCAGACCTTGTGAAGGCTGGGGTTTTCTGTAGTCCTCCCTGCCATCTTTATTCCCCCTCGGTCTAGATGAGTAAAATATTATCAGACACTCTTGCTCTCTGTCTCTTCCCAGAAGCCAGTGTTTTCATCTTTGAATGTGGAAATAATGGTAACCTCCAAACAGAGGCTCTTATGACAGGTTTACACAGCCTTCTGCATCCTTGCTGTTAATGAAGAAGGGGCAGTAGGCATCTGCTGTAGCCATGGCCTTGGACCCTTCAAACCTAAGCAGAGTCTCTCAGGAAAGAGCGAAGAAAAAGAAATCATGTGTGAACTGCTTCCACAGGACAGGCCCTGCACTAACTAACTTAATCCATCGAAGGTCATCACGGTCAAATGCAGAGGACATCAACTGTCCCTTTCAAAATGAGAAAATGAAATTCACAGAGTTCTTACCAGCCACATTCAGAGCTGTCTAGACTCCAGGAATACCCAAGCACAGAGTCACATTCACTCTAGATGGTTCTAAGGAGAAGGGGTGCTGACCAGGCCCCGTTCTGAAACCCCGGCTGTTCCTAAGGATCAGAAGAACCCTCAGGACCAGCCTTCTGTGTATATCCCTCATGATGAGGGCATACAGTGAGGCAGACAGACTCAAACTGGAGCAGGCTGCCAGCCAAGCCCCTGAACACTGCTGGTACAGAGTGGACAGATGCCTGGAGCCAGCAGGTGGGGACGACAGTGGCCAAGGCATCTCCTCTGGATGGATCTAGGTCATGGCACAGAGAAGTGACAGTGGAGGCCCTGAGGAGCTCATCTTCAGTTCAAGAACTGTGTAGGGCAGGGGCTTCTAGCAGCACGCTGGCTTGGCCATCAGCCCCACACTGCAGGCCGTTTTCACCGAGGAAAAGGAATCGTATCGGATGTCCGCTATACAGAACCTTCACTCTTTCCACCCTTTTGCTGATGCAAGGAAGGGTGATGAGCTGCTTCCTGCTGGCACTGAGGACTTTGTCCATATAAGAGTTCAGCAGCTTTATTCCTAATAGCCAGAAGCTGGAAACAACCCAGAGGCCCCTCAGTTGAGGAATGGATGCAGAAATTGTGGTATATTTACACAATGGAATACTACTCAGCAATTAAAAACAAGGAAATCATGAAATTTGCAGGCAAATGGTGGGAACTAGAAAAGATCATCCTGAGTGAGGTGGCCCAGAAGCAGAAAGACACACATGGTATATACTCACTTATAAGTGGATATTAGACATATAATATAGGGTAAACATACTAAAATCTGTATTTCTAAAGAAGCTAAGCAAGAAGGAGGACCCTGGGTAAGATGCTCAAGAAAGGCAAATGGGATAAACATCAGAAGAGTGTGAAACAAGGAACAGGACAGGAGCCTACCACAGAGAGTCTCTGAAAGACTCTACCCAGTAGGTTGTTAACGCAGATGCTGAGACTCATAGCCAAACTTTGGGCAGAGTGCAGGGAATCTTATGAAAGAAGGGGGAGATAGAAAGATCTGGAGGGGACAGGAGCTCCATAATAAGAGCAACAGAACCAATAGATCTTGGCTCAGGGGTCTTTTCTGAGACTGATACTCCAACCAAGGACCATTCATGGAGATAACCTAGAATCCCTGCACAGATGTAGCCCATGGCAGCTCAGTGTCTAAGTGGGTTTCCTAGTAAGGGGAATGGGGGCTGTCTCTGACATGAACTCAGTGGCTAGCTCTTCAATCACCTCCCCCTGAGAGGGGAGCAGCCTTCCAGGCCACAGAGAAGACAATGCAGCCAGTCCTGATGAGACCTGATAGGCTAGGGTCAGATGGAAGGGGAGGAGGACCTTCCCTATCAGTGGACTTGGGGAAGAGCTTGGGAGAAGAGTGAGGGAAGGTGGGACTGGAAGGGGAGGGGGGAGGGAGCTACATCTGGGATACAAAGTGAATAAATTGTAATAAAGAAAAGATAAAAAATTTAAAAAAAGAATTCAACAGAGAAACAACAGAAAGACTCTTACTACTGTCCAAGGGATGGCTGATTACGATAAAAAGAAGGCCTTTAAGAAGAAATTTACCTGCAAGGGTACTGTAATTGAGCATCCAGAATATGGAGAAGTAATTCAGCTGCAGGGTGAGCAGCACAAGAACATATGCCAGTTCCTGATAGAGACTGGACAGGCTAAGGACGGTCAGCTGAAGGTTCATGGGTTCTGAAGCTGAAGGGAGGATTTCCTTGCAACGAGTAGAATTTCCTTCTGTCCCTGTCACAGCGTGTATAATGTAACCATTTGGGTTCTGCTTTTAACTTGGACTAGTGTAACTCCTTCATGCAATAAACTGAAAAGAGCCAAAAAAAAAAAAAAAGAAAGAAAGAAAGAAAGAAAGAAAGAAAGAAAGAAAGAAAGGAAGGAAGGAAGGAAGGAAGGAAGGAAGGAAGGAAGGAAGGAAGGAAGAAGAGAAAAGAAAAGAAAAGAAAAGAAAAGAAAAGAAAAGAAAAGAAAAGAAAAGAAAGGAGGAAAAGAAAGAGAAAAAGAAAAAATGAAAGGAAATACTGGAAAAAGACTTGAGGTGGACACCTCTGAACCCAAGTGTCCAAACTGAGCATCAAGAGTCCTTCCCGGGCTGGAAGGATGGCTCAGAGGTTAAGAACACTGGCTGCTCTTCCAGGGATCCTGAGTTCAATTCCCAGGAACCACATGGTGGCTCACAACCATATGTAATGAAATCTGGTGCCCTCTTCTGGTATACAGGTGTACCTGCAGACAGAATACTGTATAAATAATAATCATAAATAAATCTTTAAAAGAGAGAGAGTCCTTCCCCTCCCTATAACTCTTTCACACCCAAGATCTTGTCTCCTTCATCATACAAGTGGAGCCAGCACTTACCACAGGGAGGGCAGAAAGCAGAAGCCTTTAGGAAAGGTTGGTGACACCATAAGACAGGGGTGGGAGTGAGAGCCCACCAGAACCTCCAGCCTCCTCAGGCTAGAGCAAGGGACCCCTCCAGACAGCCATCCGGGCAAGGGAGGACACAGAGCAACATGGCTGCAGGACTCAGCAACCACACTAATCTTCAGGCTAGCTCTTCCTGCCAGCTGTGTGCCAGAGTGGCTTCATACAAGCCCCGTGACCCCAAAGTCCTCCCACCTGGGTTCTTACACAGCTATCACCAACTTGAAGGCCTTAGTAGTTTCTTACTATGGGATTCATTTTCACTTGCACCCCCCAACACCTGCACATATACGCATGGGCGCACATACCCTCCAAACCCACCGTCTCAGTCTGTGCTGGGTGTTCCTTCAGCTTCCCCGGTCTCACGGGAGCCAGCTGGGATAATGGCCAACAGTCCACCTGGAGAAGTGGGATGGACCCTAGAGTGTCTGTTGATCTCAGGTTACAGGCAAAGCAGGCTCGGTTCATGGAGTCATCTACATCAGCGTCTACACAGGCGTGTAGGTCATGGCTCAGCCAGCCACAGTGCTCCTTCTCCATGTTGTTGGCGGTGTCTCTGCAAACACCTCGGTCACGGGGCTGTCTCAGGTATCAGTGACAATGACTGACCACATCTGATAGAAACATGGTTCGGTGTGGTCAGGTCAGTTAGAGGCAGCTCTGCTCTGCCAAGTCCATTCGCTTGATCGCCCACCTGCCCATAGCAGGTTCTAAGCTTGGGTTATATCTCTGGGAGATTATTTCCCCACGAAACTATGATAAAATATAATTTTTAAGGGTGTGGATATATTAAATTAGCTGGGCACCATTATGCAGCCGTTAATTAAATGGTAGGGTCTAATAATGTTTATTATTATTTCTGTAATTATTAGCATGCTGTATCTAACCCACTGTCACAGTAAAAGACACAGACCCCTGGTAGATCTTAGAATAGCCTTATATCACCTCCCAGCTCCAGCCTCGCACCCATAATTCCATAAATACTTGCTCGTTCTTCACCTGGACCACTTCCTCCATCCACGCCTGCCATGATAACCATAGAGCTAATAGTAAATGATATTTAGCCCAACACCAATTTTATTGCCAACAGCACTGGGGTCTGCGTCTGATGCTTAAGGCAGGGGGCACACATCCCAGCTGTCATCCTGGAAACATTTCTGGAAGCCTCACCCCGAGGTCCTTCTTGTGCCCTCTCAGATCAGAACCTGTGAGCACCTGGGATTACCTGTGATAACATGATGGGTGCAGCCTCTGTCTCAAGGACCCAGGCTGTTTGCAACTGTGGATGTCTGCAAAGGCTGCGGGTGAAGGTGAGCCTGGTTACACAGAAGCCACCTCCTCCACAGTACTGGTGCAGGCCTTAAGACGGTACCGAGTTCAAACCCCAGCAGCGCCTCTTAGGGATAGCCCTTCTCTCTGAGCCACTAATTCCCCTGAAGACAGCATCATAGATGAAATGACTGACAGACATATGGGAGCTACTCTGACAGTATGCCCTGGGGCCTCCTCCAGAAGCATTCTTTGTCTGCTGGCTCAAGAAGGCACCATCAGGCCTCCCTCCTACACAGGCCTGAACACGAGCTCTGATATAACGTCCTCTCATTGGTGTAGCTCTTGATGGACAGCCTCCCTTCGTCTCAGCCTCTGCCAAGTGACCTTCATCCTGCCAGCCAGGAGATGGCAGACTTCTACTCTGCTAAGTCCGGCAGTGCTGGTGTGTGCAGCTGCTGGCTCCCTCCAAATGGCAACAGAGCTCAGAGGCAGCTACAGGACGCACAGGCTTCCCCCTGGTTTTATAAGTGAGAATCACTTGCTGAGGGAGAGGAGACTCTGGTGGAGCTGCCTGCAAGTTGTGCAGAGAGCTCCAGGGATTCAGCTTTTCTACGTCATCACCTATGCTGGGCGGGTTTGTTAGTGATGAGAGGACTTAATTCCAAGGAGCCAGCCAGTCCCAATCTGAGTCGTGTAGCCTCCTTGGACACTAGCCGATCGTAGTTGAGGTCACATAGCCTCTCATCTTCCCTGCCTGATGGCCAGACTGCCTCTACCCATGATGCCATGAAACCACAGGAGTCAGGGACAACTGTCTGGGTGGTGGACTGACTAGTCATGTCTGTCATTTTGATTGATACATAGATTCATCTAGGTTACATTTTATCCTTCTCAGGTCTCTGATCACATTGATGGCCAGGCCAATGGTAGATTAATAGCCAGAGAACAAACAGTTAGACCCACTGTTTGCTTATTAGTACATCCATTGGCTAGTTTTATGCTAGATCTCTTGCATAAAAAGGCTGACAGGTTTTCCTTGCTCACAGGCTTCATGTTAAAAGGTACGTAGATTTCAAAACCTTTTTTTACTATCCCTTCATTTAAATGACTGCTCCTAATAATCAACCCCCTGTGTCTTGAGGTGAATAACTGGCTGGAAAAGGCATAAAGTTTCTGAGGATATGAAATGTTAAGTTATGAGGAAAAATGTCTGTGGGTTTAAGAAGCTATTTTAATGCTTCAAATGGAAGTTGAAAAGTGTTTGAGGGTCTAAGAAGGTATTTTAAGGTTGGTAGATGCAGGGTATGACAATTGGAGGGTCTAAGAAGGTGGATTAAGGTTGGTAGATGCAAGTTGTAAAGTGCTTGTGGGTCTAAGAAGGTGTTTTAAGGTAAATGTAAGGTATAATGCTGTAAGAAAATGATTTAAGGCATGTCAAATTTAAAAATGTTTCAGATATCTCTCCTCTTCTACGCTATTTTTATGTTTTTATGAGATTTCAGAAGTTCGGACTTTTAACACTGATCGGTGGAATTCTGACAGGCTGATGGAGCCCTAGCTGCTTACTATTCAGTCACAAGGTCAAGATTTTAATGTCCCTTTGTCTTCTGGATATAGACTTGTGCTTCTCACTATGCTAAAGACATCTTTGTCCAATCTGTCGATCTAGCCCTCTGGACTGAGAAGATATTGTTTATGTTTTTTTAACCCAAAGTTATGGCTTTTACTAGGTCTCAACAGCATGAGTATACTCCTGCTGTCTTACAGACGCCTGTTAACTGCTTTTTCTAAAATATGGATCTCAACACAATGGTGATACTAATGTACTTCCGTTTGTAAACTACAATTCATATGAGTTTCAGGAAATTAAAAAGTCTTAAGACCTGGATCCACTTGCCACAGCTTCAACAGACTCTAAATAAGTACACTCACCTGATCTTTAAATGGGATTTTTTTTTCCCTTGGTCTTGGGATTCCTCACTTTCCTCGAATACTAGACAAATTTTAATTTCTGTTCCTAGTCTGTATTTGTCGTAACAGATTTTTTACCTGGGTGACAGACTCCATTCAGGGATCACCTGTACATGGCAAGCTCCTGAGATCTGGACTTGCTGAAAGCTGAGATTAGCCAGTCCAGCCAATGTGATTGCTCCCTATCTCTTCAACTGGATTGCTAACCAGAGACTTCTGATGAGTGCCCCATTGCTAGCCTCTGACTAGTCTTTCAGCCTTCCTGGGCTGTGATAGTCATCTTAATGTCATCTGGGAAAAATTACAGGAGAGAATATGTTGTCCATTGTCCCACCTAACAGCTAAAACGCTAAGTCAAAAGAAACTCTGCCATAAGGGACAAATGGCTACCTACTGACATATCAGGAAATAGGCCCTTTGTCCTTTTTCTCCTGGTCATGCTTTGTTCCTCTTGCATGATTTTGCCTAGCGTTAGAGAAAAAAAAAAACACGTTAAAGAACAGATCTCCATGGACCAACTCATGGTGTTAAAGTCCCAATACCAGCCCTTGGACCCGTCTCAAGGATCTGAGATGGAACCCTATTCCAGGGGTTAATGAGAGGACATAATTTCAAAGAGCCAGCCAATCCCATTCAGAGTCACTTAGCCTCCATGGGCATCAGCCAATCCCAGTCGAGGTCACATAGCCACTTTAGGAATTCCTCTTTCTGGCTTTAAAATGGACCTTCAAGCTCCCTTTGGGGCCACTGCCATTTTGTGAAAGTGGTGACCCCAACATGCTGGAATTCTCTGCAGAATAAATGCTCTTTGTTTTTGCAGACCATCTGAGTCTGGGGTCTTTCTTCGGCAATTCACAGCCACCTATGTCACCCACACTCATGAAACCCCAATAAAAATCCCTCTCAACTTGACTGGAAATAGCTTAGGAGACACAGCTCCGGTACATGTTTGGCAGTATCCAGAGAAACTAAGGTAAAGAGCCACCCTGAACTGGAATGGCTCCCTCCTGTGGCTCT